GGGTTGGGGTAGCGGATATCCCAGCCCTCCCTGGTCCTGCAAGCGCCGGTGTGGCGACGAACATGTTTGGCAGATCCTGTCGTTTGGTGAGAGCGACGCTGGGGGACTCAGAGCGAGGGGTTGGAGTATAGCGACGCTTGACGCCTCTGGTGACGGTGATGGGAGCGCAGTTCATGTAGAACTCGCGGTTGCCGATGCGGTTGAGCCAGCTCCAGGCGAAGGTGTACTCACCTGGGGCGATGCTTGGAGGAATTTGGAAGTCGAAAACGCTTGCGCCGCTTCCGTTGGCGTCTGAGGGAAGATTGCCATCCACAGCGGAGGGGCAGCCACCTTCGATGGAGTGGATGACCTTCCAGACAGAGTTCTTGTTGGGGATAAGGTCCTGAGTGAGAGAAAGCTGGCACGATCCACCACCATGTACGGCGCTCCCAATGAAGCTCAATGTCTGCTTCGCGCCAATGGCGAAGACGTTCTCGGGGGGAACCACACGCGGCCCAGGAGTGTACCTACCTGAGAACTTGCAAGGGAAATCGCCTCCATTGGCGTCGAGAGGACCATTGTCCAGAGCTCTGGGGTTGAATGGAGTGGGTGTCCTGATCTTCATATGAGCATCGACGGCGCCGGCAGAAAGCAAAGCCGCCACAGCAGCAACAAATGTCTGGGAAAAATGCATGATTGAACGTAGTTTCTAATTTCTGTTCGAACTTGAATGTTTCGTTTGGGCTTTGTCGGAAGAGCTTCGCAGAAGTGATCCGTCTGGTGCTTTTTGGTTTCTTGAAGGAATGTATGCAGTGTGCGAGTGCTTTCGAGGGATCCGTATATCTTATCTTATATCTCGTTCCGGACGAGAAACTTCGAGAGAAGGATGGTTGGAACTGTTTTCGATAGGGACTGTAGATAATCCACAGTGGCTGGAGGGAACAGTAGACAGTAGTCAAGCAGGCAAAGGAGAGAATCTGAAGAGACTGTCAGTAAGAGGAACCAGAAGGAATAATCCAGAGCACATAAAACACAGAGAAGTAAAAAGGAATGAAATGGGCTTCTTGAGGAGACAGGAAAAGTAAGAAGCAATCAAAGGACAGTGAGGCAAGTGATATATATAAGAAACACTATCATAGAACACTTGCCAGCTTCTTCCACAAAGCAGTGATAAACTGCACAGCAGCCCCCTTTTCATGAGAATGCAAATGGCTGGATAAGGAGCTTGTGATTCACACTGAAAGGGCCCAACCACACAGCCAAACAGCTGGGACATGAGTGAAATGACATGATAAATGTCACAACAAATGAACAATAGAAGGGTGAAAAAAAAAAAAACAAAGCAAATTGGATATTGAAAAGTGTGGATTTACCTCTTTGTAGCAGGACGTTTTCCGATTCGCAGAATGTTCCTGAAGCAGCTATTTGGTATGTATATTCTTTACTGGCGCCGACGCTGTATACAAATATACAGAAGGAATGGATACGAAACTCTCAACAAAACTGCCACAGGCAAGATCTGGAGAAGAGTCCAAGTGGTGCAGCGGGTGCTGGGAATAGATAGGGAGAGACAGTGTGTGGTGGACAAGGAACTAGCCCAGGTCGAAGCAACAACACGAATATAAAGCACGAATAAACCCCGAATGGGAAAAAAAGGAGAGAAAAGGGCGGAAGGGAGCGAACGGGATGCGGCAGTTTGTCGAAACGGGCCAGCGTGATGAGGAGAAGAAAGAGAGAAAAAAAAAACCCTTGGCGGAGAGAGGAGAGAGGGGAGGGGGAGGTTTATATAAAACTCCTTGGGTGCCACCACTACTACTATGTGTACTTACTCCGTACTCCTCGAGACACCGCATGGTCTATTCCCCACCTCCATCTAACGATAAGGTGCTTAGCCGCACCATGCTTGACGGGGCGTGGGCGTTGGAGCTAAAACCCGTCCGTCCCATGGGCTGCTCATCCCGGCCAATCGACCAAGGGCCATGCCTTGCTTGTGAAGGGTGAGGGCGAGGAAACAGGAGAGAGGCGGGTAGTGTGCACAAAGGGTTGCTGGTCTCCAACGGCGATTGGCCAGGGACACTTTTGGGCTGGTTTCAACATCCGCTGGGGACTGGCCGAGAGAAGAACAGCGCCGAAATGCGAAACAAGCTACTCCGTACGCTGGTTTGATTCCGTGTCATGTCACTGATGTTCAGGCACAGAGAGACATTGGCGGGTGGCCACTCAGCAGACGATGTTTCGTTCCTGATCGTAGCATTTGACGCAGTGAGTGAGTGGAGATCGAGTCGGCAAAACGAAACTGGAAACACTCATCATCCTGAAGGGGAGGATGGGGCAATTACACCGATCCTCTGAGTCTGAGGTTGCACTTCCTGAAGCAAAAAAGAAGCCAACAATCACACTGCCGGGTGGAGTACATTATTATTATTATCATACGCAAGTGCACAGTGCAGACTGTACTCCGTACATTACAGGTGGGATAGAGGAGACAAGAAAACAAAACGGCGACTCGCTCCAAGTTCCCAAGTCCCAAGGTTGCAACCAGGGCCGCCAACCAGTCAGGGCCGCCGAGATGCCCTCGACTTTTCCAGTCGTTGAGATGGCGGAGGACAACGATGTTCGCCTGTGGAACCGCGGGCTGCCACCGAACGGTTCCATTCAGCAGGCTAAATAAACTTCCCAGCTAGGGGGCCAATGGCTGGTATCTGAAGCCCCCATGCTCGAACGATTGCCAACGCCGGCTGAAAAGCCAAAAACCAACGCCAGACGGGGCAAAATCCTATCTAAGGCTTCCACGTTGTTGTATTGTAACAACTTCTTGAGATCATTCATCAATCTCCTCCGCTCCTTGTTGAAAATGACAGTACAGAGTACTTCCGTGGGCTCCATTGTTATTCTTCAAGACAGGGAATAACTTATAATGTGGAGCTGCCAGCGCGTGAGCGGCATCGCACTTACACAGTACGGAGTACGCTGGTATATCCTGGTATTTTATTAGGCCGCCCTAATATTTAGTGGGATACTAACCCTCGGTATATGTGACTGGGTATATGTGACATTCTCACATTCTGAAGGCATGTTCCCATCATCACATCACAAGCATCAAATGCTCGCTTACGCTCGCTTTTCTGCTTGCGCAGCCCCCTCTACCACTTCCACCCTCCCCCCCAACCACTCCCTACCCCCCCTTTACCACCCCTTCCACCCCTTACCCTCTACCCCCTCTACCACCACCACCACCTCTACCACCCCTACCACCCCTACCACCCCTATCACCCCTATCACTCCTACCACCTCTACCACCACCCCCTCTACCGCCTCTATCACCCTCTCCCCCTACCACCCTCTTCCACTCCGTATCACCCTGTATCACCCCTACCACCC